AGAAAGAGGGCAACCCTGACGAACACCACTTTCCGTGGTGAACTCGGGAGAAAAAGTGACTAGGTGAACGTAGGGGCGGGAGAGGGGAAGGATATCTAAAGCCTCCTCCTGGAGGTGGGGAAAACCTTTGCACTTCATTGGGCAGCTGCCGCCTACACAAGCTGAGTCACTGGGATGCTGTCCCGTCCACATTTCCAACTCCCGCTGGGTGCATGAGGCTGAGGGCCGTTCTCGAGCGGCAGACCGACAATGGACGCACCTGCGAAAAACACACTACCGAAACCCCAAGGCTTTGCGTGAACGATCTATAGAAGCTCCTACAAGGATGCTTCGATCATTTCCTCGCGTTAGGCCTACGTCCCACTGCCTTATGGGTTAAACTTTTGAGTTAAAGACTACCGCGAGGTATATCTTATCTTAAGGTCTCAGGAGCCAATGTTTCTCGCCTCTGTTCTTTTTCTTCCGATTCATATGAGACGCCTCCTTTTTCTATCACTCAGAGGATAGCGCTCTGCGTTCAACTAGTTAACGAAACCAGTCAAAGTTTTATTGTGGAAAATACCTACAAGCAGTTGCTTTTCTCGTCCCATTGGGTTTGGCACAGATGGATCGATTTACTGTTCATAGACAAATGGGGAATATCACAAATTATCCTTGTTTCGTGTCCTGCTACGGATGTTGAATTTTGAGATTTGTCAAATTTGCATCCAGTTTGTGCTTGAAAGAATCAATTGCGGGAGCAGAAACAACGTGGAGTGGTAGAGAATTCCAAATAGTGCACTCTGAGGGCAAATGAATGACGCCGGCATTCTAGTTGACATTTTTGGAACACTAATTTGAATGAGTGCCCCCTCAGGTGAGCGTTGGGCCACAAGGTGAACAGTGAACGACATGGATGATCAGCGTTCTGCATTATTTAATACACCAAAATTAGGTCCCCTCGAATTCGGCGATACTATGTGGAGTACAGCCTCAATAATTTTAGTCTTTCCACATAAACCTTGAAATGCGGTCCTTTGACTATTTTGGCGACCATTCTTGTGGGCGTTCCAGGATTTCATCGTTCACTCGGTCGAATGCCTTGGAGAAGTCGAGGTACGTTCACTGCATCACCGTGATCAGCTGCTTTTACCCACTCTTCTTGGGCCAGAAGCAGGTTAGTGGTACACGATCGCCTGCGACGAAACCCATGTTGAGCAAGGGATAACACGTTGTACTTTTCCAAGTGGCTCATCACGTTACCTGCAACAATAGATTCCATGACTTTGGATAATACGGAGAGAAGAGTAAGGGGTCGGTAGTTAGTTGGGTCAACACGACAACCATCCTTGTATATTGGAGAAATTATTCCTTGTTTCCATAGTTTCCACAATTTTGTCGAACATTTGTTAGAATAGTTCACTTAATGGTTCAGCTATGTTACTTGCCAGATTGATAAGGGTTTTTGGATGGATATTATCCATCCCCGGAGATAAATTCCTTTTTAACTGATTTCTGGGGGAACTCAGTTGTGGTGAGCGTTGAGTGTGGTATATCCTCAAGTAATAAAGATAGTCGTAGTTCGGTGTTCGCTGGTGTATCATCATCATCGTACAGCGAAATACAGTGAAGCGAACTTCACTGAACGCTGCCAAACTCGTAATGCATACAAGGTTAGTGGTAAAATTTAAGGTGGACAAGGGTTGGATTTATTTTGAGGGAGGGAGAAGATGAGCCACTATGTTCAACACAGAGTACGCAATCGAACTCTGCATACATACCGTTTCAAGCATTCTGACCTAAACGACAACAAGAACGCCACTGCTGCCGATTCGCTGCCATATCTTTCACTGTCTCCAACCAACCAGTTGTGGGGTCTTTCGGACCTCAACCTGGAAGGCGAGAGACACCTACCCTACCTAATGGCTGTGTGCATTTCTTCATGCCTCGTCTCCACGTCATCTGTTGACCTCCACGTGGACTCCTCCAGCCCGGATTAGCTACAGCGAATAAAGCGCGGTGCGGCAGACGATGGCTGGGCATACACAATACGTGACCTAGCCAGCGAAGTCTACTTATCTGAATTCGGTGTGCTAGCAGGTTTATACCTGATAGACTCCCAAACATACGACGGCTTACCTCCACGTTACTAACCCGTTCGCTCCATCCAACATGGGCTAAACTGCGTAACACCGATAATCGAAAACTTCTAATCGACGGATATCTTCTACTCGCAAATTCAAGGTCTCACAACCATAAATTCGCTGGTGCGGTGAACAATTGAGCGTACTGGCTTTAACATTTCAGCTGCCTCCTTTTTTGTGGGTGAAACACGTTCTACCAATGTTAGCGCTGGAACGCCAAACTTGACTTTCCTGGTGGTATTTCAAGTCAAGCCAAATCAAGAAGCGGCTTTAATTCGCCCTATAGGGGACAAACATTTAGCTACTACACACTCACTCTTCTGTGGAAATGGCATGGAAAAAAGGATGATGATACGCTTCTTATACAAACAAATAAGGGAAATCTAGTAGTTTTTGTTTAAGGGTCCCAATCACAAGATTAACGTTGATAAGAAACCGTGCCAAGTACGGTATTAAAGAAGACTTATGTTTTGGTGCGTGCTGCTATATGCTTGTACTTGGAGCAGGTGCTAGATGTAGAGATACGCTTGTGTGTTTGTACAACAGCTTGGGATTTGAAATAAATTTGCGCATTAGCATTTCCTGGTACATTAACTTGTCTTCTCGTGCCAGCTTGATGCAGTGGTTTCCATGTAGACAGTTGGTATATCGTGTTGTTGCAAGGAAATCGTTTATAAGCTCCCCATGAGATACTCCTCTGCGAAATTCACTTTGTTCTGCTTCGAATCACTGATTTTTGACCAGTTGAGTAGGTAATGTTTGGTCTTGGTCACGCCCTTCACCATTCCCGTCAGGTGATTCGTAAATTCTTTCCAGAATACTAAGGTATCACACTCTTCGTTGGGAAAATCCCTTTGGAAGTCTGCTGCCAAAATCTTAGGTTTGGTGTGGTCAACGAACATACATGAGTTAACCGTTGAAATATGCGGTACGGATGCATAACAAATGTAGTCAAATATCAACGCAGCATGATCACTACGCCCTAATGGAGTTGTAGTGGAAATTGTTTCTACCATCAGTTCCTCTTTAGTTAACACCAAGTCCAAAACCGACGGTGACTGGCTGGCTCCTTCACAAAACTGGATAGGATTCCCTAATTTGGGCGAGTTTACTCTCAAACGGTTGTAGAGAGGTCACTGATTTAGCTAGATTTGGACAATTTAAGTCGCTCATAATAAGAACATGCGTGAACTTCAGTGACAGAATTTGATACATGGTTTGCAATAGTGTCTCATTGGCTGAGTCTGTGGATGAGGGCGTTACATCACCGATCACGCCGATATCGCGTTGTACGCAGTCGCACTTTGCACCACAGTGAGTCAGAAGCGATTCGACTGGTAGAACCAAAATCCCCTTTTCTTCTGCCAGCATTCAATGTCCACAAACTCTGTTAGGTTGACCAGCAAGCTATCTTCAGTATAACTCTTGAAACTTTAGATTTAGACGTGTGCTGTGTTCATTTCCGCCGGCTCACCGAGCTTGACGGTTCTCTTGCTAACGTTGTATCACTAGCTGGGGTGACATCTTCAGTGCTTTTTGCTTGACCACTCCAACTTTGGTGGTTGAGCAGCTAGATCGCACCCGGCGGAGGCATCGCGGATCAAGTGTCGGCACGCATACAGAAGGCTTGATTGACAGTTGTCAACTTAAGGCATCTGTGGCGCTGTAGCGACATCCGGCTGTCTGTGAAGATTCGGGTATCTTCAGCGGTAGTCCGGCCACAGCTGCTATACGGACCAGAGTTTTGTTTCATGAAAATCATGTAGATTCTTTGGAGTTTGACATAAGAAGTGACTCCAGCATCACCCTACCCTTTTCGAGAGCTCGATTCTAGCCTCTGCACGACCGGATGCTGACTGCCAGAAAATATTGTGTTGGTGCCTGAGTGTGGTTGAACCTCTGAGCTTATTCAACATTCGATAGATATGGATTCAGCCCCACGGCTCTGTACATCCCTGTTAGTTGGGCAGATATTGTTTTACTGCCTTTTGATCAAGCTATAGGTCTTTTACACCCCAAAAGATAGCCGTTTTCATTTATCAAACACCGTTTCACCGATGGTTTTGACCTCAATTACTCTCAATCTGCTTTAGCCGGTCTATCAAACGGCTTGAGCACCATCATGTTGTTCATATTTTATTAAACTCACGATCAAAAGTTAGGTGGCGGATGGGGGCTGAAAAACAGGATGTTTATTATTACCAGCTCGGAAGTGCCACTCTCAACTGGGATCCCCAACACTGCTTGGAATTGGCGGATCGCTCGGATTTTTAAACGGGTTTTAACTGATCCGCATCCGCACAGAAGTTGCTTCACGAAGTCCATAATTAATCTATCGGATCTGGTTTCTTTTTCTTTCGGAAAATGAATCGCAAGGGTTTCGACTTTCGGGGTTTACACTGGAGCTCTTCCACCAAAACACTAAACGACCATTATTTTGTTGTGCTGCTCTGCGTAAGTTTAGTGACTTGACGAACCCCGAGAAACTAATCAGCAGCGAAAGAAAACTGTTTCGAGGGAATTACAGTTTAAAAGCGAAACCTAGGCAGGCGGTTCAATTTCCCTGGCGCGCACATTTGGCGCAATCGTTTCCGGGTTTAAATAGTGACCAGATTGCCACTGTCGTCGCTTGTCTTTGGTGAACTTCGTTCAAACAGAATAGTGTCTAGTGTTCCTATGTGCGCTACACCTGGTGTGGGCATTTTTTGCTTATATTACTTTCATGGTTGGAATTTTTTCGTTCATTATGGTGTATCTTTAATCTGTGTCGTAGGAAACTCTTGGTTATAGTTATATATTTGCCAGTTCAATAACTCGTTTTGTTTATAGTAAAACTTTAAACGTTATGTGCTGGTTAATTCACTTT